AATGGCTTGGTTTTTCTTTTTTTTACCATTAAAAGAGAAATTTTTCCGAGCTACAAAGTTTTAGATATTCATTCGATCATAAAATTAATGATAATAAAACTCTTTATTGCACAAACATAGACATAAGAACATAGACACTTAAAATAATATATACAAAACAAAAAATGTTTGCAAAGGCGGCCTTATCGCCTATGGCGAATTCTTTCAGGCAACCTTTGCAAGTAGAAATAAAAGGAAACCAAAATTACAGTAAAGAAGCAAATGTCAATATGGAAAATAAAATTACACAAACAATGAACATAAAATTAATTTGAATCTTATTCAATGAAAGTCGGGTTATATAAATAAATACTTTTAACAAATACTCACCGCCTCTAAAACTAAATAGCAGTCAGGCACGGCACAGATGTCTGATCAACTACTTGTCTGCAAATAAAACTGATCAGTGAAACGGACACAGAAATGTCTTCGCCCTATGCCCCACAAGGAGAAACGGGACTTCACTAACTTAAACAAAGACTAGGAGCTTTTTACTTTCTGTAAGATACATATATTACAGTATTTCTTTCGAAAGAGGAATTTAAATTTTATATTCGTCTAAGTTTGACGAATAAAAAAAATACGATATACTGTCTGTAGTATACCCGAGTAGCCGTGGTCACGGGGAGACGGTCCTCGTGACCACGGCTGCTGCAAAGTTCAAATAAGTTTTTATACATCTTGTTTTAAACCGTTAAAAAGTTTCATTTAAATACTTAATTAACTATTTACCTCGATATGAGCCTTTGCCAAATATGTCAACTACATATTAAATATAGGTTAATTGTCGCGGGTCGTATTAAGTTCCGGTTAATAATAGTTCGGCGATAAAATTAACAACATGTCCCCAACGATTACAATACCGATATTCATTTGTTTTGTTTTAATATTATATAAATGTTGCATTTTTTGCTATGTAATCTTAACTTCTCTCTCTTATACATGTATATATGTACCTTATTACTGATACGTATGAAATAACGCAAGAAGTCTCGTGTTAAAAGTAATAATTATGAATTTGACCCCCTTTGATAATTAATCAATCTTTTAATTCGTATGAATCATTGTTTCTTTTATGTAGAATTTAGTAAACCATGTTCCGATACATGCATTTTTTTATATATTTGAGTAATATAATGTAGTTTTTGTTAAATACATAGCTTTTATTTAAGAATATAATAACAACACCCTAAAAAGCGTTACAAAAATCATGATTCCCTCAGAAATATCCTTCAGATGGTAATTTTAATAAATAATCTATCGTATACATTATATGGATGTATATAATGTAATATACTTTGCTATGTTGTCTAACTTTGGACTCATAATAATGTCTATTCTAAATATGTGAATGAATGATGTATCGGTTACCATTAGTTGAAAGCCACAAATTGACGTCGAAACGTCTCGGGTCTCTAAAGGCATCTGCGGCGTGCATCCATTATGTGATGTGACCTAAAATTCGATACCGGCGTGTTTCGGCATACTATATATATATTTATAAATTTTTCTGCAGCATTGGATGGTAGGAATATAGAATTTCCGCCCGGGTCACGAAGCACCGTCCACAGATGAAAAACCCGCGAAGCTTAACCGCTGTTCGATTTCAGTCTGTGGATTTCCGAATATCCAAAGCCAAAATAGGTCGGCAGTATATCACCTACCATCAACTGAATCCCATGCTCTGTCCTCCTGTATCATTAAAATTGTCATAAAAACAAAGAAAAGTGTACGGAATAATTGGTTATGTTATTTATCGGAGACCATTAGTCTAGTAGTAATAGCAATGGAGCTTTTAAATAAAACACTTTAACGCAAAATAAACTTATTTGAACTAAGCTTAACTAATATATTTCGCGTTTTGAACCGCTTACATTTTAAGAAATCAATATGTACATTCTATTACTCTTTGTTTAAGGAAAACATCAAAGCGGCGGACAGTAAAATAAATTCAAATTAAGTTATCTAATATATTTCGCTTTTTAAACAGTTATAAGTGTTTAAAAAGTTTAAATTATTTTATTAATGTGTAATGTTAGCTTAAACTATAGACACTTAATAGAATATTTTTTCAAACCTTTTAATTTTCTTTCGTGTCCTATTTTTGGAAAAATACGAATGTTCAACGGGCATTTGGTCAGGTGGCTTATATACTCCCTGAGCGGGCTTGTCCCAACTGTAGAAATAAAGACTTTAAAATACTTTCTATATTTTATTAAAAATAAATATTTTCGACCCTGTGAATGTTCCTGTGTTTCAATTTGTTAGACTCATGTTCAAACTAATCCGATCGTATAATCGTGAACCACTTCTTTGACACGTGTTGTATAAGGCGTGCTTTCCAGCTATAGATAGTAGAATTAAATTCGTGTTCTAATACAATATGAATGAAATACTTAATACTTACACTAGCTGACCCTCTTATGTACACTAAAGGTAGCTTTAGTTTTTCTTTACTTTCGCCACTGTCCCGTCAAAATTATCGTAGCCATTTATATTGAGCTAACCGTTACCGATATGTACATATGCCCTTTGTTATATTAATATATTGGGTACGTGTCTGAAATAACAAAATGTATTTATTTGTTGAATTAAAGAATTTTTGAGTTTAAAAAAAATATGTTGTATTGTTTCATACATGTATTTTTTTTAAATTAATGTATTATTATTACCAATTAATTATTTGTTAGAGTTGTGTCGACATAAGCATATCAATATCCATGCAACAAACAACGTTGCGGATCAGTCCTCCATATCCATAATTTATTTCAATTTTAGAACATGGATTCAATGGAAAGATTTAAATCTTATTGTAGCACCGCCTAGTAAGTGGATTATTTCTTTAAATAGATTTAATATAACGTCAAGATCGTGCGCTATCGCCGCTCGCTTGTCGTGCACGTTTAGTGTTGCCATCTGGAATAAATATCGCGCAAACACAACTCGAAAGAATTCTCGCACGTCGGCAACACTCGACGTCTTTCGACATATTGTAAAGTTTAGAATTTAAAAATAGAACTTATATTCTCAATCATATCTATACTAATATTATAAAGCTGATGGGTTTGTTTGTTTGAAAGCGCGTATCTCAGAAACTACTGGTTTGAATTGAAAAATTATAGTGTTGATTAGACCATTTATTGAGGAGGGCTATTGTTTTATTTGGCTATAAAACAATAGGCTGCGACAGTATCTGCAAAAAGACAAGAATGTGACAGAAATATTCCTCTGAGGGATTGCGTTGCGTGCGGTGCGATAATAGTTCAAAATAAAAAAAAATATATAGAAAATAATTACGGTTTTTTAAGTTATGTAAAAAATTGTTTCCGTGGAAATATCTTATTTACCTTTTAAGATTAACTCACAAGAAGCGATTCTACGAGTATCGAATATCGGCAAAATACTTCATATGGCAAAAGAACGTTTTCCAAATCAGCTAGCATACAAAAATATGTATGTTTCATTTAAATCCACATCGTATAAGTTATAAAAATTTGACATACGTAGTTTTTTTTATATTATATGTCCATTATTCGATCAATTTTAATATCATGTCTTAAGTTGTCGTGTAATCGAGTTCACTGTATGCAATTGCACTAATGTCAGACAAGAAACACAGTGAGGCGTATTAAACCATTAGGGGTTCCGTCTGGTTTCCTTGTCTGAAACTTGTTGTAAGTTGGAGGCAGTTTGCCGCTTGCTGCGAACTTCGCCGCCGCCAGATACTGGAGCGGACGTTAACTTTGTTACAATGGTTAAATTGACTTGACAGGTAGTTATAGTGCCCAATTTACGATAGTCAAAGGCCTCCTACACATAATTATTTTTTTACCAATTTGTGTATGGCTATTTCAGTGGCGACACTGTATCTAACATAGCCATAAAAAGCAACTGAGTCGCTATTTTACTATTTAATTATATGGATCTGAGTCGCCAAAAATCTAAAAAATAAAATCATAAAAAAACACAACAGTAATTTTATAAGTTAAATAAAACACTTTAACGGTTTAAAACGTAATATATCGTTAAAGTGTTTTATTTAAATGTGTACGACTCTCGTAAACTATAGACAGTATTAAATTTTATAATTTTAACTATGTTTAAATATATTTGGAACAAATAAAGGCTAAATTGTTAATCCATAAAAAGCAGATTAAATAAATTCAATCTCAAATTTTCTGATTCGTTTTTTAAGTAAATGACATTATTTATATGTATTTTCATTTAATACTGTACTGTGATATTGATAGCTTACGCGAGTTGTACACATTAATTACTGATTCGTTTTTCCTGTTTCTTTTTATCCCGGGGGGAACCCGGATGTTGTAAACGCATCCGAAAAATCGAGCCGTAATCAATAAATAAAAAGCAATATAGTTCGCATTTTAATTTATTTAAAATACAAATTGTATTAGGGAGAAATAAATGTTTAAATGTATTTAACCACCATACTATAAGGCACACAAAAACATATATAAGACTTATTACTAAACATCAAAATAAATCGTAACTTAAACTTGACAGTGTAATTTAATATTAACAGTATAAAATAATGTTGTGTGCTGCCGAAAGGACTCAGCTTTATCAGACCCTATATTAATGGTTAATATAGATATTTTTATTTATTGAAAAGGGCGATTTTTCTTTCGAACTCCGGTTTTATTATAAAAAACTCTCATGCTGAAAATCCCAAAGACCGCTAAAACCAAATTTTCCTCAATTGTTCGCGCTCGGCTCGCAGTGAAATGCATGGCTTGCATTTCGTTCGTACGATTGTTCCATTGTTCTTAAAACAAATGGTTAATTAGATTTTAAAGGAGTTTCCACTTTTAACTTGTGTAATTTCTGGATTGTGGTTTTGATCTTTTTCCCGGGGCCTTGTTAGTTTTGAGTGTCTACATTGCAGTATTCTTCAATAGCGTAATAACCCTTTACTCTCTAGAGAGTGTTTTATATTTCACATGAGGAAATGGACCGACACTTTCGACGACGAAACGTTCGGCTATAATTCGGCCGAATACCGGGTTGGTGTTGGGGGTTTAATTTAAAAAAAAGCATTTATTATAAACTCTATCTGTATATCTTTAAAAAATATTGACCTTATATGTATCTTACCGAAAAAATTCTTATACTTCCCCAGAATTCATACTCAGACCTCTCACTATTACCGCATTTCTAAATAATTTTAAAACAAGTATTATATAAAGTAACAAAGTAAGAAAACTAATTGTTATTTTCCTTGTTTCAGGATGTTATACATACGATAAGCACACCACACGGCCAAGTACAGAGGATCGTCGTCTTTAAGAAGAATGGTGTCCAAGCGATGGTTGAATATCCTTTGCAAATAGATCTAGTAACTAGAATTACACATAAGACAATTTCCTGTCTTAGAAATGTGCGTTAGACCAAAAAATTACACAGTCCAATCTTTTTTACAAAAATTCGTGTCTATGATAACACAGTTATTTATTGAGCTAGTCAAAATATTATTTTAAGAAATTCAACATTTTTATGGGCGCTGCTATGTTTTTTGTATATTTTATGAAATAAGTGTTTACAATATTATATGTCGGAATGATGTATGCTACGTTTGAAATTTGTAACAGATTCGTATCATGATTGTAAATGAGTTAACATCGTGTAAAGCTCTCGAGAGAAAAGTGTTATAAAACTTCTACTGTCTACACATATTTCAACAACTCCACGAGATCGGGTTGTAGTGTTAGCGAAGCGAATTCACAAGCGGAGCGATTAGTACTTCATACTTCCCTTTAGACAATCCATTCTCCTTAACCAATTGGCTCTTCCGTTCGAAAGAGAGAGAGGGAGTCGATAAGACGAAATAGTCGTAGGTAGAGCTGTCAAATAGTTACTACGCAAGCGTTAAGGTTGAAATTACATTGCGCGAGAGGTGCTTGTATCAATATGTCGGTAAGAATTCACGATGACGTGTAGGAAGGCTGTACACTGTAGCTCAATTGGTTAGAGCAACAGCACGGAACGCTGTAGATGCCCGTTCAAAACCCGCCTGTTTCAATCTAAAATCGATTTTAAATTTACATAGTAACATCATGCGTGATACATACAACATGTAAATAATATTAGTTTTCAACTTATTATAAAAAAATTGTTTTATACGTATTTTTTTCTTAATCATAAACAGAAACATGTTATTGTGCAAATTATTAGCTCACGCTTACAAAGACGCCACGCCCCTTCAAACCACAGCAACACATAACCGTAAAAAAAGCACATAAATAAACACTCCTAATGCTGATAGAGGTTTTTCATAATAATACACCTGACACATAAACTGAAATAGCTTTTATTCATACACTTATAAGACTATTTCCATGTTTCACGCCTTACTCAATGAATGAGCAAAAGTAATCTCTGCCTTTAAGTACGTAGAGGTGCTTTTGGTGTGCCAATGCGGTGAAATTTTCGTAAGACACATTTCATCTTTAGGTGATGAAAAAATATAGAGATGGAACGGGGTCGCGCTTTGTTTGTGGTTTGTAGACTGCGAATAAAGTAATACGTGCATATTCGAAGGTTTCTTTAACACCTCCACTGTAAAAATAACTACGACTCGTTGGTATTGTATTGTTTTACGATAGAGGAGAACAATCGTAGGGTACACTTAATGGTAGGTAAATTACCCCATTCAACCATCTTGACATATGTGCTATCGACCTATTTTGGTTATAGATATCCGGAAATCCACAGATTGAAACCGAAACGCGATTAAACTTCGTGACTCAGACTTCCTACCACCCATTTGATATCCAGATACCCAGACGAAGTCGAACATGTTTAGAAAAAAAAGTTATATCCCTCCTAGATAAGTCTGTACATTAAACAGGTGGCACAGCTATCAAATGTCCGGGTCAAGAACCCTCGTCCACATAAAAAGCCGCGTAATATTAAACGGCGTTTCGAATTCAGTCTTTATCTGAAGTAGCCGTTACTGGGCCGTCTCACCTTCCATCAAGTGAACCCCGAGTCTGCCCTCCGCTGTCATAGAAAAACTACGCTTCGCTCTAACCCACTATTTGCATTGAAATGTAGTTAATACGACTTTGAAGAGGGTCTCGACGAGATTGCGATGAAAAATATTATCCAGCCGAGCGTCAAGTTCGACGGGCCGCGCTCAAATTAAGGTGGATAGAACATAATTTATTGCCAAAGGGTTTTTACCCCGCCTGACGATATCTTCTTTCTATTTCTTTACAATTCAGGCAGTACAGGTCAGATATATTTATTATAATGCGCAGTATAACCAAAGGCAGACTCGGCTTTGGCGCCCGAAGGAGTTTACACAGCCGTGGCCAAATCAAGAACCTTTAATTTTAATAACAATAGATACAAGTAAAATTTTGATATTTTTTAAAAATACCCCCCCAAAAGAAAAGCCCTTCAAAAAAAATTTTTTTTTTAAAAACAAAAAAAAAAAAAAAAAAAAAAAATTTAAAAAAGGGGGCCTTCCCCCCCCCCCCGGGGGGGGGGGGGGGGGGGGGGAGAACCCAAACCCCCAAAACCCAGGAGCAAAACACAATTCCTTTTTTTATTAAAAAAAAAAAAAATAAAATTAAATTTAAAAAAAAAAAAAAAAAAAAAAAAATTAGCAGCCAATAGCACCCTCTTGTACTATGTTTTTTTAACCCCACTTTTCAAATTACTCCTGTTTTGTATTGTCGTTGTCTATTTTATTTCAATTTAGACTAAAACCAATTCAATATATATAACCCAAATTAAAAATATCAAATAAGCAACGTATCAGAGACATAAATAGACTATCTGTTGCTACTCCACCATCCTTACAATTTACGTCCTCCTTATTTATTTTACAAACAACTTAGATTTTACGGCAGCGATCGTAAAATATAAATAAATAGCATTTTCAACTTTACGCGTGATAATTTTGAGTTTATATTTGTTTATGTAAAAATATATCGCTCTTTTTGCGTGTCGTTTAATTGACGGGTATTATATCGCGGGAACTGTCGGATTTTCTGTAATAATAAAGTGATGTTTTGTTCAGCATGTTATAAAGCAATTTCACGTATTAAGTTTACATTACATGTGAGCGTTACAACAGTTTGATTGACACAGTAGGACTAACGAAAATAAATTAGACTAACACATATAAGGTCCATTAAGATAATAAATATAAATATTGAAAAGGTCATAATTAAAATAAAATTACATTTTTACTCCCTGTAATTATTATAGACGTCAACTACCTCTCAAGCCTAAGTTTGCCTAGCATTGCAATAAAATGCTCTTAATTCGAATCCGAAAACAATAGCTACAGACCGACACAAAAATGTAGATGCCCCACTGAAAGATAACAGAACTTAACTCGGCGTAAATAAAACACTTCAACTGTTTAAAACGCGATATACATTAGTTAAACTTATTCGAAAATTATTTTTAACTACGTTCCAGCGTTTCGGATGGTTTGCAGGAGCCGTGGTCACAGGGAGAAACGGGTTAAATAATTTTAAAAAAGTTTAACCTATGTATATCGGCTTTTTAACCGTTAATGCTGTAAAGATGCGTACTACTCGTGTAAACTACATACAGTATTTGGCGTAAACATATCACAAAAAACCGTAATAAGAACTCAACATATTACCGACACACATCCGTACGCTTAACGACGTCACATAAAATAATTAATGTCATTTTAAAAGCCAAATCACGCGATGATTCACGGCCGTAATAAAAAAAATGTCTCGTACTAATAAAACGTTGATATAAATCAGGAGATTAAAATAGTGATGAATGGCTAGACCGGCGCGTATTTAGATAAAAAACTTAGATAAATGAGAACACGTGTCTGCTGATTAAGTGGTTACACGTATCGCTGATGTATGGAGCTTTTTGTTTCTTGCTTTTAATACCTAAACCTCTATAGGCGTCGTATAGTCTGTATTCATTTAGTATGTTTCACCTTTGACAGTTAGAACAATTTCTGTAATATCTGTGGTGCTTGTCTATAATCTATATTATATTGATTGTAATATCTGTGGTTCTTATCCATAACTTTTCTGTTAGTTATATATATTTACAAAACAATTGTAATAAGATTTTTTTTAACGTCCACCAGCTGCCATTTAGGATGTTTTTTAAATAATTCGAGTATGACTGCTTTACCAGTTAAAATATTACGGTTTGCTGATTGTATAGAAATATGTTTGATTGTGGTTTAAAGGTAACAATAGTGTCAATCAAAATCAATCAAGCCGTTTACACCTCGAGGATCTATACCCTCGTACAAATTTATATATTGATTATTTTGAAGATTCTATAAAGCTTTAATTTTTAATACTGCCAGCTTAGAAAGTAATAACATAATTTAATAGCAAAAAATTACAATATACTAGCGAATTAAACTTTAAGAGACATCCACATTAAGAATGATTACGACTTTTATGATTTAAAAGCTTAAGTCTGGTAGTTAAACTTGTTTGAAATCGGGAAGACCCAGGACCACGGCTGCTGCAAAGCAACTGGCACGTCGGGCCGTAGTTAAAAAAAATGTAAACAAGTTTAACTAATATACATACCTATCGCGTTTTAAACCGTTTAAAGTGTCTTATTTAAACGAAAAATATTGTGAAAAAGAGGGATCGAAGTGCAGAACCGATATCTTGCTTCGATTGGAATGTTTACATCGATCTTTTAATGGCCGGAATGTTTACAAGAAGCACGTGGTGTTGCCAGTTGTAAAAAATAGCACTACTCGTGAATTGTTTGATTTATGAGTATAGTCTGTGATGTATTGCGAACGCGTGCGCCGTGATGTATCTCGTAAACGAAATGCTTGAATGAACACAAATATAAACCTAAGCTCGATAATTTTTCAATTGCGGGAACGGTGCCAAGAATCTGCATTTTAAATTATTTCTATCTGGATCTAGATATTACGTTAATTCGGTAATGCATGTTTAGTTTTACTTGTGCTCGAGAAACTATTGCAAAAGCTTTGCTATAAAGTAGGTAATTAGGACGTTTATCTGGGCTACGTTGTTCTTTAACTTGCCAGGAAAAATAAAAAGTTGTATTGACATAATGAGTTTAATATAGACGATGAAGAAAAAATATAATAAAAGTTTAAAAATGCGTTTTGTAGGACCAAATTATTAGACTGCATTTGAAATTAGATTAAAAGTAGGATGATGTGTCATAATAACGACAGCAAGTTTGGTTGGTCACTAAGCTAGCTATTGAACTCGCTGTTATAGCTAGCCTTCGAATGGACAGAAAAATCTGAATGTGTTTTTTTCATTATCCCATGATTATGTTTTTTCTTGTAAATAAATAAATCGTAAATAAAAATATAGTAAATTTCTTAATTTTTTTTATGTGCATGATATTAATATAGGCATAATAATATTTTTTAATTGAATTCAAATTATACGCTGTTATGAAAACTAAACGAACCAAATTCAAAACAACAAATTAAATATAAGTAGTGTAGAATATGTTGCCAAAATCTTATTTGTAATCTAAAAACCGTTAAATATTTTGATGATTAGGAATTTTCAAGGAGTGTCCGTGAGTTTCAACTTTCAGAATTTAGGCCTCATCAACAGTGATAGAAAACTATATTCGTAGCGAATTATGTTTGGCAGTTTAATGTCCTTACACTGCTATAAAATGTCTCGCTACAGTGTAAATTGAGGAAAGTTCAAGATCAATAGTGCGATGGCCCAGAGGTGGTTGAACAAATAAAATTTAAACGTCTCAACGTCATTCCTTCGACATTTAATCGCCCTGGAGTTGCACTCGCTGGAATTAGGATAACTGACGTGAAATAATTAAGGGCACTTCAAGGTTAAGCCAGGGCGGACGATTCTTGACCTTCTTTAACAGTTAATTGCTCTGAAAATGAGCTACGCTTCACGTTAAGGGTGGGTTCTGTTAGAAAACGTTATTTATATTAGTATTAAGAACAGTGATTATTTTGGAAACTTTAATATTTTGCACATGATGGGGAAAAAACGATATTTCGCGAGAGGTTGTTCAATAGCTTGAAAGAATTTGTCGATGACGCGTAGGACTCGGTAGCTCAATTGCTTGGAACAACAGCACAGAACGCTGTGGATGCCGGCTCATGTCCTGTCCGAGTCGTACATCTTTTAAATTTATAATCGATTTTTAATTTGTTTAAAGGTTAGCCATTCCATTCTAAAATAAACTGTCTGTCAAATTTGTTCTTAAGCTAGAAAATCTTGTTACCATCGATTAACGTAAAAGGCAAATAATTATTTTGTTGTTCTTAAACTAGCTGATCCTGAAGTGTTGTAAAGCCTTCTTCGATAAATGGTCTATCCACCACAAAAATAATTCTTCAATTCGAACCAGTAGTTCCCGGGATAAGCGCGTTTAAACAAACAAACTCTTCAGCTATATAATATTAGTATAGATAATTATTAACGGTATTTTTAACAGTAACAAATACATGAAGTATAGCTAAAGCAACTTACGCCAAAAATTATACCTCGTAGCTAGCAGGCTTAAAGATTAGTAAAATATTAAATGCTTTTCGCTAATTTAATAGTATTATAAACATATTAATCAGCGGCTTGTTTTTGGAGCAACGAGGCGTAGTGTTTATTTTTGCCTTCGGGATTATGAAAAATCATGTTATTGCTTTCTCGATATTTATTTTCGCAGTGTTTTATTTGACTATAATACATATTTCTCTTATTAATCATTTGTACGATTTTTTATCATCTCCGACTATAGAAACGCTGAACGGACATATATTTTGAAATCTTTGTAAAAGTGAAAGCCCGTTTCCCCCCTCGGGGTAAGGGGGGCAACACATTTCTGTGACTGTTCCTCTGATCACTTTTACGGGCAGTTGACCAGGCCTCTGTGCCCGACCCAAACAATTTTATGTTTCCATAGGATTCGACCTAGGACCTCTCGCGCTTAGCGCAATGCTAAGGAAATCGTTAATTTGGCTACAGAGGCGGTTGAAATCTTTATAATATGTTTTTGGTATAGAATATTACTTATATAATAAAAAACTTTTTTTTGTAATTCCGCAGTCAACCCACAATTTTAGGTATTTCATGTGCATACTATAAGCATAATCAAAGCGGCTCTTTCTATTTCACTTGGTTATTTAATAATAAGAAATAGATGGATAGTTTAAAAAATGGTAATCTGGTAAAATTTTTCATTTCAATACAAGTTATATGCGATTTAATAAGTGTAACTGGCTTTATATATTAGAATGGCATTTTAAAATCAGTCATGAAACGGTCGTGAAGAACCTACATATTAATTTTTTGTGTAGGTAGTTAATCGAATATCTGTGAATTCGTTTTCATAGTTTCACATTAAAATACCATGGACCGTATTACATTAAAATACTTGCCAGCTGCGCTAACAAGGAGATTGCGTATAAGGCAAAATGTACGCAGTTTTGCGAAGGATTTTTTTTCGCTGTTTTAAGGACTAAGTTTAAAAATCGAAAATAAATTGAAAAAAATTTTCGACTCGGGCAGGACCAGGAAAAAAAATTTTTTCAATTTATTTTCGATTTGAATATTATATAGTGCCTCCATGTGCAATAACATGTAAAAATAATAAAGTTCTCAAAGGACAAAGTTTTTTAAGGAGTTATACCATCAAAAGTATTATTAGATACAACTTACATATGTTCAAAAATACTATTTTTCAAATTAAGATAACGGGCGTCCACAAATGTCTTCTATGGCAATCGTAGCTAATATAAATAGCTTTGCGCTCTTTATTTCAAATACATATGTAACGAGTTTTTGTAGCTCCAAAACGGATCCACTCACCGAGATAATAAATATTTAAACTTATCGCATGTCGCACAAATTATATAAATTAAAAATCTATTTAGTTTGAAAAAAAAATGCGCAAGATTTGCTTGTGTGTTGAAGAATTTCGACTATGACGTACGAGACACCGTAGCTCAATTCTTTATAGCAACAGCATAGTAAAATTAGATCATAATATTTAAGTGTTAAGGGAAAAATAAGCATTCAAAAAGAAAAGAATTTCTCCTTAATAATAGATTAATTGTATTCAAATTTTTACAATGAGTCCTTAACTAGATTGTCACAAGTTTGAAAGCGTGGAGTCTGCAACGCGGGCGAAGGAGGCGCTACACGGGTGCGATATATACTCAGGATGCTGCACGCTCAAGATTGAATATGCTAAGGTGAGATAATATTTCATTTTCTTAGATATAAGTCGTATCTAGTAACGTAGAACTAGCAGAATGGCTCACACGAGCTTTGTTAAAGATTTAAATTTGTTACACTAATTTATGGATTAAACCCTAATATTGGATGTGACAAGATGTGAACAAGTTAAAAATACAAATTCAATTTAAAAATATTTAAGTCCTGGCGTCAAAATATAGCTCCAGCCTCTCATTTGGATTTTAAATTGTTATAACTTATGCAATAATGAAATAAATAAAGTTAATATTATCTTAACTATCACCATATATTCAAAGAATTCTAATATTTCTAAGTATATCCGTTATTACATTGAACGTGGATATTATATTGAAATACCTGTTTACTCGCTTTTCATCTTTAATAAAATGTTATTTGTTTATGTATAGGATGTGTTATTGTTGTAGAAGCCTAATAAATAACAAGGAATAATAATTAAATACTGTCTATAGTTTACGCGAGTAGTACACATTTAAATAAAACACTTTAACGGTTTAAAACGCGATATATTAGTTTAACTTATTTGAAAATGATTTTTAACTTCGGCCCGACGTTTCGGATGCTTTGCAGCAGCCGTGGTCACGGGGAGACGGGCCGAAGTGAAAAATAATTTTCAAATAAGTTTAACTAATATATCGCGTTTTAAACCGTTAAAGTGTTTTATTTAAAAGGAATAATAATGCCAAATAACCAATGAAACTGTATAATGATCAACGGGTCGCGGGGTCGATACTCACCGGGTCCAATATGTGTCAAATTTTTCAGAAACATTTCTCAAAATCTGGATTTATTCATTGGCGGTAGAAATATAGAAATTTCGTCCGGTCACAAACCATCGTCCACAGTTTCAGTCTGTCGATTTCCGAATATCCAAAGTCAGAATAGGTCGACAGTGTATCTTGTTTAGATGCTATAGGCTGGGGTATATCGCCTACCATGAAGTGAACTCATGATATGCCTGTTCTTATCTATTATTAAAATAAAACTATTATACGATATCTATAGTACGATGTTAATAAACGAGATCACCAAAATATTGCACTGTACAATGTTTATTAATATTATTACTGTATCGTGTCCGTCTCTATTTCCACTCGTCTCGAAATTCCAAGCCATTTTGCTCCGTGTCTCGTTTTTAAACGCTTTTAGTGAAAGCAGCTCGGAGTGTGAATGCTAAAAGCGCTATTTCGTTAGGACTTAAGCGATACCACTCTCGGCAGAAATGACGTCATCATTGTCTGAAGGTGCCGTTAGTTAGTCGCCAAGCCTTTTTTCTACTTGGCTGGAGAATGAAAGTCCTTTTGAGCCAGTTCTTTAATGAAACACACAAATACGCAATTCTGTAGTCTATTAGCGTGGGAAATTTTGTCATATGAAAAAATAATAATTAAAACGGTTTTAACGCGTTAAATATTAGTTAAACTACCGCCGCAAAGCATTCGAAACGTTCGAAATTTGCAAATAAGTTTATTATATATGTATGTATGTATTACTAATATATATCGTGTGTTAAACCGTTAGTGTTTTATTTAAATTTATACTATTAGCGTAAACTACAGATAGTATAAAAAACATAGGCAAGTGCGTGTCTCGTACCATCGTAAATACTCATTGTATTACTTGTATTTGTTTTGACAAGGCCCGGGTTTTTAAATGATAGAGGAGGACTATAGCCACCCAGCCTATAGCATCTAAAACAGAAATAGGAAGATGCGCTGTCGACCCTTTTTTGGGTTTGAAACAATCTTGTTGATAATTTGCTGGATCATAGGATCCCGTTGTACACTGTACGGAACCGTATAACGCCCAGTGAACTCGTAGTGAAATAAAAGTAAGCAGTTGTTAAAGCGAGGGTCCTCGTCGAAAAGGACCATTAAAGCCTCCATTACCGCACTGCATTTTTATTAAAATACGTAGACAAAACTAGACTTTTGTACTCTATGGAGTGTTCGCACTTTTCTGTTACTGTTATTATAGCTGCGTTTTATCTTTAAAATATTTCCTTATATTGCATAGTTTAAAACAAACGCTTTTTCTGTCCCTATCGCGTAGTTTTAAAGATAGGGTGATTCATGAGGAAGGTTTTTACACATAACGTTCACAATTTTTCTGTTGTGTATTTGGTGTCAGCATTGCACCGGAGCGAAGCCGGGGCGGGTCGCTAGTATTCCAATTGAGCTACTTAATAGTAGCTCAATTGAGCTACCATTTCGTTATCATCGGATTTCTTTCACACATTGATACATTCACCTCCCGGGATATGAACCCAAAATGTCCCTCACTTGTCGAAACGCCTTTACTCATAACGACACCAAAACAGTCGGATTAATAATCACGAATGTCTTATATAATAATAATAATAATAAGCTTAATAGCTTGTGAGACCGCCTTTGTAGCTAAATGGTACTTGGTTCGAATCCCGGGAAAACAAAACATTGTTTCGATCGGAGAGGGCACAAAAGTGTGTTTAATTACTTGTTTGTAAAAAACCGTACAGTAAAACGGTCACGTTTTGTGAGACATGGAGGCTCAATTGGTTAGAGCATTTTTTTTAAAACGGATTTGTATTTTTTCTGTCCAGCAACATAAAATAAGCAAGATATATTTGTGAACTGCAAAACTCTATTTCACACTTTACGGGTCTCGGAAATAAAAAATGTAATTGCACCGGCTTCGCGTCTCGCGGCTCAAATTTGCAGTTAATAACCCGTCACGAGTGCTTTTATTATGTGTTTGGAATAATGTCCGTCTATTATCACTATCCACATTGTAATTTGTAGCATGACACTGAATATTATTTCACTTTGTGTTAATTGTACAAAATCTGGATAATAAATTGGTGTAGGAATATCAAAATTACGTCCGGGTCGCGAACCAACGTCCACAGATGAAAAAACCATAAAGTTTAAATACTGTCTATAGTTTACGCGAGTACTACACATTTAAATGAAACACTTTAACGGTTTAAAACCGCGATATATTAGTTAAGTTAACGCGATATATTAGTTATTTTCAGTTTAACTAATATATCGTGTTTTAAACCGTTAAAGTGTTTTATTTAAACCATAAAGTTTATTCGCGTTTCGATCTCAATCTGTAGTTTCCGAATATCCAAAGCCAAAATAGATGGACAGCGCAACTTATGGTTAGATGTTATATCGCTGGGGTAATTCACCCACCATCAAGTGAAAACCTCATGCTTGTCCTTAAGTTATGTATAATTTTCTAAAGAACGGATCAGTGAAACGGACATAGAAATGTGTTCGTCCCATGCCCCACGAGGGGGAAATGGGCTTTCACTTTTATGTATAATTTTTATCATTCGTTTAGTTTTTGTTTCTAAAAAATTTACGTTTTAAGATATAACCACATTTATGAATAACTTCCTCCGGAGTCCAATGGGGGACCTCTATAAATATCAACAACGGTCGGCCACAGAGGACAAATCACATAAAAGGTAGAGAAACATGTCGGAATGATGCGATTATGTCGGACTCGTTACTAACACGAACGACTATTAAGGTGTTTTGGGAAGGGTTTATGTTATTTGTAACCGCAATTCTCAAATGAATATATGAGGTTATATAAGAGGTAGAGGAGCGGGGGGAAAGTCGTACTGGGGTAACAAGTTCCACGCGTTTTTACCGGGATTATGACTTTTTAAACGGTTTTATTTAGCTCGACCCGAACGGAATTTAAATTTAAGCACCTTCCCGTTGTCAGATTGACCTGAAATTTGGTACACACATTTAATTAAAATGACAATATAATAAAATCAATAACATTATAATTCCAAGATGGCCGCATTATAGATACAAAATGGATTACATATTTTTTCTTAACCCCCTCAATATGGGTATCAAATGAAAGTAAAACACGGTGATTATGACAAAATTTACTTTTTAGCAGTTTTCAGTGCACAAAAAATTAAACCGTTTTACTTAAAAGTTTTTTTACAGATTTTTTTTTCAAATTCGAAGCAATCAGTGCATACTGACCTATACCTTCAGTAGTTTAGTTTTCTTCATTTGAACAAGTATCTGAAAGTTGTAACAGCGTTCCGCCTCTGCCCTTACATTAATACTGAAAATTTAAATTTATAATACTAACTAGCGACACGCCCCACTAGCGACCCGCTGGTGATACTAAATACACTACCCGAAAACTGTGAACGTTGTTTATAAAAACCTTTCTCTTGAATCACACTATCTATTTAAAAAAATCCGTTGCGTAGTTTTAAAGATTTATGATCACATAGGGACAGAAACTCCGACTTTGTTTTATACTTTTAGGATTATTTACTCGATGGCGGTGAAGTTCAAGGAATATTATATGAAAATTTAAGAGTTTAAGCTGGTAGCACTATTTTAAAAAACAATATTACTTGAATAATAATTCCTTTTTAATAATAATAAATAAACGACGTATTACAATGGTTTGTCAATGACTATATTTATTTATACGCTATTGTTTAGCTAAAATACTAAAAAATATATTTTTTTTAACTCGCAGAGTTCTTCACGGACAATTAATCTTCCCATATAAAGAGATAATAGGAGCAAAAAGAGTCCCCTGTCATCGCATACAATATTTTCACAGAGATAGCTCGCTTTTGTTCGTTTCAGGATACATAGGAAAAAGCGGAAATCGCTTTTCATAATGACGTTTTAAATGTAACTGTTGTTCATTAAAAGGTTCTTTTGCTGTTATATACACTAGGTGAATTATAGATTAGAAATGAAAAATTATTTCTTCATATTTAGCTGTGTATTATGTAAGGTCGTAGATAAAAACCACTCCTATATTTCGTTTACCCAATATAACATCAATCGTGCTTGGCTGCAGCTTAGTTGTTAAGAACACAGAAGACGCTGACGATGCCGGTTCAAGTCCTGCCCGAGTCGAATTTTTTTTTCAATTTATTTTCAATTCCTAAATTATATAGTGCCTTCATGTAAAAAAATAAAAACGTTTTCAAACACAAAACAATTTTTTTTTATCGATTTCTGATATTTTATTAGAGACGATGTCATAATGAGAATTTCCAATTAAATAGATATTGTTAAAATAAAAAAGAAAATATGACAATCAATCACGTGTCCCGTATAACGCAATCTAGGGGGAAGCCCCGCGGCGTCCATTAGGCTAATGACGTCATTATAATCATCACCGACAATTATAGGATAATTTAATTCGCTCTCGCTCGAAATACTTCGACATCTACCCCGAATAATTTAGCAAATTTGTTCTAATTTTAAACAGTGAGCAGTCTTAAGTCGAACATGTTTCATTGGTGTTATTTATGTCTATGGATTTTTGAAACAAAAGACAGCTCGATAGCGCATCATGATTAAATATAGCCAGTTTGGTGCATTTCAATGTGTCATAAAAATAACGTAAGAGTGTTGAAAACTCAAATGTAAATGGAGTTAGCTCAAAGCAAAATAATCGCGCCAAGTACAAAATTGCCTCCACAATTTACCATTCATAGCACACTAGCTACGGCGTAGCTCTAAAGAAAAATTACTAATTGAATATTATATGCTACGGCGTAGCGCTCTACGAGCTTCGAATTATGAATATTACGCTATAAATAACAAGTTTCTTTTTATTTTCAGCCCGAAAGACTGAATGTGTTCAAAAATGACCAAGACAGCTGGGATTACACGTGTAAGTGATTTTGTGTTTTAAAAACTTGTTTTATCAGTCGGTAATAGTTAATCGTCAGCTCCTTAAAAGTTCCCACAGCTGGGACACGAGTCATAAAGGGAATAGACGGCCTCAATCTACCACCAAATACGTTTGAGTAGGACTGCAGAGCACCTGAATGTATGATAAGGATTAATATTTTTTTTTTACGACCGAGAATCAAAGTCGCGAACTTATGAAAGTTCTTAAACTTACCATAATAAGTTTATAATCGACTGGTAAAACAAGTGCTAATGTTTCATATTATGTTTAACGTATAGAATTAAAAAGTACAAAGTACACCTTTTGTAAAAATATTTGTTTATGTATTAACTAGTAATAACATGTATCTTTATATATCGGCAATATGAAGCATTAATAACATGTAATCTACATTGCTTGTAGGTGTTGTTAAGTTAGATTAATGTAAGTTTTAAGCGTTGAAACTTTTCAAACATTAACTTAACCAAGTACGAATAAACGCAACGCAGTAAAAACCTCAATGTTGGAAAGTTTCTTGCACTGCATGGATTTTTTTTATTTTTGCATGAATTAAAATACGATTTCAACATTATTATGGACATACTATATCTACTTTTCATTATACATAACACACGTATATATAATGAATTATAAATATGTTTTTACATTATTTTTGGATACAAAGCCTTCCTTTAATTATTAATAACATTTATTGGTTTATATGAAGTATAAAATTATCTACAAAATTATATATAAAATGACTCGCGAAAACGAAACAAAACGTATCTTTTAGAAGAATCGATTTTACTTTTAAACTTAACAATAGCCTAGGTGGCGCCTCGTGACTCGAAAAAGAGAACGCTTAAAAGCTTTTCTTTTGAAAGTCTTTCATAATAGGTGAATCGCGGAGGTTAATGTAGCAAGCGACTCCTTGACAGTCCTTACTGTTTAATTTAATGTTATTCAAATGTAAATTTTTCTTATATACGTGAACAAGACAAGAAGTAGAGGTAAATTTTCCTAGCAAGATTACATTTTGTTTACTTTGTTACATAGACCGATCGATGTGTGTTCGTGGTCGTGGGTTTGATCATATGACCCGGTGGGGATTTCTTATCAATTTATAGTTTCGGAAATATGTTGGATATCGGGATATTAAATGATTGGTAGGAATATCAAATTAACATCCGGTTCACGATCCGCAGATGAAAAGGTCATAAACTTTAATAGGGACTCGGTTTCAGGCTTTTCAAATATCCAAAAAGGGTCTACAACGCATCTTGTTCTAAAGTTGACTGGTGTGTTTTACCTACCACTGAGCCGCATGCTTGTCTATCTATTATAATAAAATGTATTTATTAGGTAAAAAAATTATCTACTTTTCCTCTACGAATCAAGACTGTGTTTTTTTCATTGCTATTTTCTAACATACTTCTAAAGCATAATGTTTTTCCACTACACATTGGAATTTCCTAAGCCGGGCTAATTAATTAATAAACATAACGACATACAGAGTTCAGCACAGCGACGTAATTGTCCTCAAAACTTTTAATTAGGCCCCTATAATGTACAAGTACATCTCTATTAACATGGCATAGTTGTATACTATATAGGGCAGAAGTGAAAAAGTTTTGTGTCGTTGTGTAAGCATTATAATGCTTTGCTATGTGATATAGTCTTGCTTTTACAAATAATGATTTGCTGCTAAAAATTAAAGGATAAACAACAAACACTGTAATGAATATCTTAACGACTTTAATAATTAAATCATCTTATAAGCGGAAACAAATCAATCAGTTCAACGTTTGTTGCTGATAACAGCTATCTATATCTATACTAATATATAAAGCTGGAGAGTTTGTTTAAACGCGGAGAGTTTGAATGCGCTAATCTTAAGAAATACTGGTTCGAATTGAAGAAGTCTGTCGAAGAATTGGTTTAAGGCTGTAGGCTATACAACGCTGTGACTAATAGAAGCGAAGAAACAGCGGGATATGTGGAGTATATAATTTTCTGAAAGCTTCATTTAAACGCATTTAAGAAATAATGAAAGTGTAGCCCAAGTCTATAGCAATAATATAAAGTAAAAACTTTCGCGCTCCCATTACTCAACCATCCTCTAGAGTTAATAGCGTTTCAGTGAATATGTGAAAAATACCCATCGTTCGTGCACTTTGCATATATTTGCACACTCGCATATAAATCACTTTCCTCTCTTACTTAGCCAATATTGACAGTTTGATTAATTGCGCACGAGCAAGATAATCGTTTTTCCATTACTTTCACTCCGTTTTCTTGTGACATTTAGTCTTAAATTGTTATCTAACGATGCAACCACTTCCAATGTTATTGATACTGCAGTATATAATATGACTAATATTATTATAGTATTAGTATTAGGGCACCGAAGTCTGATCAACTACTTGCCTGTTAGAAAAAGAACGGATCAGTGAAACGGACACAGAAATGTGTTCGCCCCATGCCCCACGAGGGGGAAATGGGATTTCACACACGAATATTAGTATAGATTATAAAAATAAGAGTTTATCTGTTTGCTTGAAAGCGCTAATCTCAAGAACTACAGTTTGAATTGAATTGGTCTTTTTGTGTTGGTTCAAGGAAGGCGCGAAGAAACAGTGAGCTAAGCGGAAAAAACGAGACAAAATATCTTTGTGGGTTTCCATTGCGTGCGTTGCAAAAACGGTTTAAGATATCGAAAAATATGTATAAAAGAAAGAATCCTCTTCAAATGATCTAAAAAATGTTAGCGACAGTATATGTCTATCTTTTACGACTCGGTGGCAATAACGACGGGACGTGGACGAAGTCGCTGACACAGCTAGATAATGCTTATAAATGACATTATTTATTGATCCTCTTAATGTAATATCAAAACTAAGGCCTTTCCTAGACGTACTAACAAACGTAACGTTACTGTAGTTAGTTAGCCGTGTTGCAATACCTATTGCCGGAAACTGCAGACTTGTACGTGTCATATTGCACTCCGATATGTTTCAGTGTATCCAATACAGGAATTCAATAGTCCAGCACAATGGTCCAGTTTGTAACAAAAGACGTCATTTGTTCAGCTTATGTGAGAATATTTTTCTATCTAACGTACTTGTGTGACGTAACAGGATCGTAGATATCTATCTGATAGCAATGTATAATGGCTAACAAACAACGGGTCGTGGATTCGATCCCCTCTGGGTCCAACATTTTTTATGACAATTTATAATTTCTCAGGCAAATTGGACTTCGTCTGGAAATCTGGAGGTTAAACGGGTGGTAGGAATATCAAAATTCCGTCCGGGTCACAAACCACCGTCCACAGATGAAAAACAGAGAAGTTTATTGGGGTTTGGTTTCAGTCTGCGGATTTCCGAATTTCCAAAGTCTAAACATTTCTATTTGTCCTGGTTGACACTAAATAGTAAAATCCCGTTTCCCTCTGTGGGCCATGGAGCGAGAACATTTCCGTGTTAGTTTAGTATTCGGTTCTTTTACAACAAATAGTTGATCTAACTTCGGTGCCCTGCCCGAACCAAAATAACCTATTGTTTCTCGCGCGCTTATCGCTATGCTAGGCAACATGTTTTACGATTTAGTTACAGTGACGGTTGACACTAAATATGTAGACTCAAAAACTACGGAGAAAGATGTAGTAAGTAGAATGAATAGAAACTCCAAAAATTGAAACGGTTGCTTTAAAAATTCAAAACTAGAAACATACGAACGTCATACAAAAACCACGCGGTACCGTATCAATATTTATCTATTCCTACTGTCTTTTGTACATTGTACCTTATTCCATCGGCTTAAAACATGATTTTGTATGTGTCCGCATTTAAACTAATAAAGAAGAATATTGACTCCTATTACCGATGCAGAAGGTAGAAAATCGCGTCCAATACGACTAAATGAATTTTTTAAACTACCGTCGCGTGGCATTCGTGAATTGTACTGTCATAAGGGTATCGTTGCACGTTCGAGTACGCGGGTTAGAGAACATTATAATTAATTATGAATTGTTCCGTTAGGCCCGTTCATACAATACCTACATTGTATAAATTAAAATTTAATTTTAGATTGAAAAAATATTACGACAGGGGCAGGACTTGAACCATCATCCAAAGCGTTACGTGAGAGGTGCTTGTAAGGTTGAAAAAAAATGTCGATGACGTATAGGACACGTTAGTTTAATTAATTAGGAGAACAGACACATTCAAACCATGTGTAAACGTCGTAGTTGTTAAGAAGTTAGACGGAACTCTATCTTTAGTCTCCCCGTGACAATGGCTGCTGCAAAGCATCCGTAACATCGCGCCGCAGGTAAAATAATCTCCAATTAAGTTTCACTTATGTATATCGCGTTTTAAACGGTTAAAGTTTTTTTTTAATGTTTACTATTCGCATAAACTACAGACAGCATGTTTTTGTTTTCTCCTGTACTTCAGGTTGCCTGGAAGATATCGCTGCTTAGCGATAAGGCCGCACTTTGCTTATAAATTAGTACATAAAATTAATTTATATATTTTTTGGTTTGTATTATGTGTTATAAATAATAAATCTCAAACGAACACATTACTGTATGCTTATGTACCTTAAATTCAACCACCATCCAAATTATCTCAACACCGTTATCTTCGTCGCAGTCGGTTAAGCACTATCGCGGAGTTATTTCCATACAATAAAGCGGAGGTGACGGCGGGTGTGCAATTTCCTTCCCCTCCACCCTCACCTCACTTCGAGGTGAATCGACTTCCGTTTAGTACGATGGGGACCGGTTATCAAATCGGTTTCTACGCTGTAAGTCCATAAAAATGCTGCTTATTTACGACTGACATTTTTTATTTATATTTTTGTACGCTGATATTACCACTTTGGTCATTCAATTTATGGATTTTTTAACTAACATAGTAGTCGTTACCAACTCTTTAATTCATCAGCTTTTTTATGAGAGAAGACGACAGCTGCTGTTCACTTGATGGCACGTGAAC